AATCTGCCATTCTCCTGTTGGACATTAAAAAAGCCTTCGACTGTGTCTGCACAACGGCCTCCTATTTAAACTAAAACTTCTTAATGCGCCTGATGGTCTTATAATTCTTATCAAAAACTTCCTTCAAAACAGAACTCTAAGAGTTAAAATAAATAACCACCACACATCTCCAAGTTTCATAGTAAATCAAGGTGTACCGCAAGGGTCGCCACTATCTCCGCTCCTTTACAACATATATTGCTTTGATTTTCCTTTATGTAAGTTACACCTCAATGCAATAAATTACACACTCCAATACGCAGATGACACGGCCTTGATATCGCATGGAAATACGCTGAATCAAACCATCACAGCACTACAAAATCAATATAACGAAGTTGCTCAATGGCTCAATGGAGATTACAAGGTAACCCACAAAAATGTCAATTAATGATACCCTATCATGATCTAAGACCGATATCATCTAACCAACCAATCTATCCCGTATCCTCAGTGAAATACCTAGGCCTTATTATTCATAATAAGCTGAACTTCAATGAACACACCCGCAAACAAAAAACAAAATCAAAACCAGAGCCAAACATTTCCGCTCTTTAACACACAAAAAAGAAGGTATCAACATCTACACAGCCACTTAAATCTTCAAAACAATTTGCAGACCTGGAATACGGTCACACTATATATTTAAGATGAACCTGCATTAAAAAACATTCAAGTGGCCGAAACTTCTACACTAAGAATCATTACCAAGATGCGACATCCTGAAAACCCCACTCACCATCCAGCGAATGAATATCTTTACGAAAAAACTAAGATTCAGCCTATCCCGGAAAGAATTAGAAAACTGTCAAAAAATTTCTCGAAGAAACGAAACAAGCACATGCTAATAAACATTTTTTCGATGCAACGACAAATTGGCCAAGCAAAGTGTAAATACCCAGTGAGACCAATAACAGAAATCCTAAACGAATTTGCCGATTAACAATAATCAGTGACACATAGTTTTTTTTTAAGTATCTTAATATTCATATTCATCTTACACATATAGCTTGTAAATCCTCATACATACAAATTGTACTGGCTGAAGGACCTAGGTCGATAGCCATTTGGTTGTAATATTTATAACCAATAAAGTGCTTTTATTATTATTTGACTTACAAGTTTTTACACTTTAATCATTATGTTTTTATCAACATTTTTTGCTTTTACTATTTTTTTCACCTACCTTTTCCATCAACATTTTCTCATTTATTTTTTTTTTCCAGGTTCTTACATTTTCATCTTCTTTTTTTTTTCGTCTACATTGTGTTTCACCTTCATTTTCTTCATCCCCTTTTTCTCATCTACATTTTTTAAACTAGAAGTAATTTACCCCTAAACTAAACAAGCAAGTTGATATTTTTTGTTTTCTTGTTGCAATAAAGTGTTGATAAAAAAAAAGACGTTTGCATTTGGAAGTACATACATTTGAAAAGTTGTATTGTAAAGGGAAAAATTCAAAGACATTACAACATATAGACAAAATGTTTCATTCATAAATCCCATACAGTTGCGGACTGTTGTTTTAAAATTGTTGGTGAGTGGAAGAGAGAAAGACAGATCTCTTATGACCGGCTGGCAACGTTGTAAACAGTGTCCATAATATGCTCGCCAGTGGCGTAGAGTTTTAAACTTACCAGTATTGTCAGAGTAGTATGTTAAAAAAATACGTAAATATGTAGGTATATTTTTTTAGTAATTATGATGATTTTTTCATGTAGGTAGATTAGATTATGAGTTGGACGTTATTTGTCCTTGTCCACCGCGACCTTTTTAGATCTATTGTGGGACTCCTGTTTGTTTTAGAGTATGTCGTCTAGCCTGGTATTTTTATTAGTCTTAGTAGCTTTGACAGTCGCTCCCGCATGTAGTTGCAAGCAATTGGCTTTTCTTCGCCCAATGTTAGAAACCTCGTTCCAGCCAGGCATTCACATTGGCACAGGACGTGGAATATTGTTTCCTCTTCTTCTTTACAGAACCTGCACAAAGTTGCTTCTTCTGCTGGATTTATGACACTCATGTGCCTTTTGTGGCGACAGTGCCCAGTAAGAAGGCCTACTGTTATCCTAACGATTTGACGCTTTTGATCCAGTAGGTCTTTCGTGAACTTGGCCGATGGTTCCTTGATGAACTGTTTGGTCTGTCTCAGTCTTGGATAGTTGTTCCACCGTTCCTGAGACTCTGTTTGCATCCATTGTTTAATGGATGCCTTGCACAATGCCTTAGCAACTCCACAGAAGGGTCCGGGGCCTGTCATGGCCTTATCTGAGCCACCTCGGGCTAATTCGTCGGCCTTTTCGTTGCCCTGATATCCCTCATGGTCTGGAACCCAGGCTAAGATCACCTTATTTTAACTACTTAGCTCTGTCAGGTCTTCTAGGCAGTCTTTCACCAGTCGTGATTTGATTTCTAGTGAAAGAATTGCCTTCAGAGTATATAACAATAGTTTTGCATGATACTTGCTGATTTTTCTTGTAGGTAAATTCAAGTACAAGTAAATTCAAATACAAGCGAATTCAAGTTACCTTTCGATTTTTTAATATTTATTGGTTTATAGTTTATTGGCATTTACTATATTTACCTGGTATGATGTTAACCAAAATTATTTAAAATTTTAAATTAACATTAAGTAGGTAGGGGTATCTAAATAAAACACTGTCCTAAAAATATATAATTTTTTAATTATTACAAAAATACATGGTATGGCAAAAAATATCGTAAAAAAACTAAAAATTTTTAAAATAATGTTTTAAATATATAAAATACTTTAATTTCATTAACTAAAATTTCATTTAATTTTTTTATGCTTAGTTATTAATGTTATAACTTACTGCAACGTTTCTTTTTGCAGCAGGTGGTGTTCCAAAAACAGTTGAATCAGAACTAAAAACCCATACATTAGATATGCATACATATAGGTAATAAATAATGTTTAGAGGTAAACAAAAAAATTAGTATTTCGTATTTTTACCTGTTGGATAATTCATCCATAAATAGAAAGCCCTCATACCATCTGGAGTTTGCATCTTTTCTAATATATCTAGTACCATTTGCACGTACCAAAACATTTTCAGGAAAACAGTGTTCTAAACACAACTCTGGGTTTTTACGAAGGGGCTGATTTTCAAGGATTCCTATTAGAGAAAACCAAAGTTTTCTTTTGTCAGGATTTTGCGGAAACCTAAATAGAGTAATAAAAAATATGTATAGGTGCTCAATAGGTAAATAATTTTTAAGGTATTCTACATATTACGTTAAATTTTCTTTGCCACTATTCAATAATTATTTATTGGTATAATTTACTAATTTATAAAAGGAATATCACTTTAAGAACTGTTTTAAGACTGTTTTAGACTACACAAGTTTTTAATACAATTTCTTGTACAATTTAAATTGTATATTATCAAACCTGCAGTAAATTGTCTGAAAAATTAGATTGGATAATCATTTTTCAAACTATGTGATCCTATATAATTTAAATTCTATAAGAAATTGTATCAAATCTTGTACAAGCCCTACTCCACTGGTTCAAATGAAAACAACATATCTTGACCTAAATGTACTTACCGATGAAACCATACATTTCGACTTAAATGATCTACCTTTTTGAACACTACACATGCATGTACCATAATTCTTTATATTTCTCACAAAAGTTCACAAAAATAGTATTTTATAAATGAATAAATCAATAAGTTACACAGAAACTGTCAGAAATACAAAATAGCTGTTAAGACCTGATTGGCAACGTTGCGGCTGGTTACGGTACATTTCATTCATAAAAATTGTAAAATAAGATATTCAGCGTTGCCGTATTTACGGAGTTCTTCGAAACCCTAATATTTTGTTTAGATTAATATTGATTTTTTAAAAAAATTAGCTTATATTAAAACTTCAAAGAATAATTTGATTAAAAACATATTTTTATTTATATAATATAAAATTATAGTTACAGGACACATCAAATTTTATTTTTCGAAAGTAATTTCTCCAAATAATTTTGACAGACTGATAAAATCGGCAAAGATGCAATAAACGAGAATCTGGTGGGAATTAGGCATTCCAAACTGAATGGCTACCAGTGGGTTTTGACGGGTTATGATATGGCAAAATTATGGCAACCCCGTAGGCCTGGTGATTTGACAAGGTCAATGAAATAGATAGTTACATAGATTGAAGTAAAAATGTAAGCAATTATTTTTTTTAAATATCTAAAGGCTAATAATTGGTTTTAAAACACATTTTTGCTAAACCGATTCAAATTAATAAATATTTGCCAGGCAATATGGCCGCTCGTAAACGACCAGCTTTGAGCAATCTATATAACTATATATGTATCATTGACCCTGTTAATGACAACTTGACAACAGGGTTGCCATATCTAAACTGTCATTACCCACTGGTAGCCATTTGGACAGGTCGTTGGAATGCCTAATAATGATTTGCCACATAAAAATGTAAACAATTTGGTCTCTTAGTTGTAATGTCTTTGGAAAAATTACATTGTAAAAAAAGTTGTAGGTACTCAATTCCGGTTTTTTAACGTGTTTTTTTTTTTATAAACTTTTTTACCTTTTTTATTTTTTTCTACCACATTTTTTTCATCTTAATTTTTCTATATACTTTTTTTTCATTTACAATTTTTACATATCTCGTTTTTAATAAAAAAAAATTAACATTTTCTTCATTTCTTCTGTCAACTTTATTTTTTGATCTATTTATTTTTTCACTTACCATTTTTTCAGCTACTGTATTGTCATAAACTTTTTTCATTTATTCTTCTAAATCTAAACAAGTTGATATTTTTTTTGTTTTATTATTGCAATAAAGTGTTGACAAAAGAGTAAACGTTTACTAAAAATCTTTAAACTGGAAGATGTGTATTTGTTATTTGGAATAGTGTATCGCAAAGGAAAAAGGATATGGTAAAAACGATGGAGTTTGAAAATAAAAACGAATATTTAGTAAAATTGTAATACACATACAACTGTTTATTGAGACATTATAAATCATCAGTCCTCTCATAATTGATAGATGATACAAATAACAAAATGTCTGAAGCAGGCAAGGGGCTTCGACCAAAATTATACCAATAATAAAATACAGTATAAGTATGAAATTGCATGAAACGCATCTCAAAGATATCCAAACACAATCGAAAGAGCCGTACACGCCCGACGAGAGTTCCACTTTTTTTTAGTCCAGATGTAATTTTGCGCCTGATGTTCGGAAATCTCGTAGAGCGCGACGACATACTTTTTAACAGTGTCTTATTAGTTATTATTATCATTTTTCGGACTCTAATACAGTAGTATGGCTTATTGTGTGGTATTAAAATTGCAAAAACGTGTTACTATTAGGCGTTTATGGTACAAATATTGAAAGATTAGCTACTTCACACTAAAATCGAAACAAAAAAATAATATGAAAACTTTTCTTATATAATTATGTAAAAATCGGACAGGGACAAATACCAGAAAAGCTGAAGCAAACAAAAATACGGGATGTAAAACCAAAACTTATTAGTATACAAAAAAATATGTGATATATTGTCATAAACGAAATCTATGATTGCAAATGAGTGTCTTAGCTGTAATCCTCTGCGGAGCCTGCGTAACTTAAAAAAAAACATTAAATGAAAGAACCGATTTTGGCCTAATTTTATTTAAATTCTATTGCTTTTATCAACCTCAACGGAAATGACCTTTTTTCCTACTTAAGCTTACTGTCAAATTTTAATCGTAAGCCGTAACACATGAACATTTTATATTTCTGCATTTTTCCTCCTAAATCAAAATTTGAGACATATCACTCTCATAATTTACATATTAGGTTTGACCTTTTTGAATGTATGAATAATTTAAGGTATTTTTGAGTAAAGGACACCCCAGACAAAAGTACCGCTTCCTTAAAGATTTTCTGAATAAACGACAAACTAAAGTCCAGAATTCAATGTACTATGACATTTTAAAATTACTTTCTTTTAAGATTTTCTGAATAAAAAGCACTCAAGATGAAATCTAATGAATTTTGTCTGATTAAAGATTAGAATTTTGTCTAAGTGAAGATAAGAGCAGAAAAGACCAAAAAAACAATTCAATGTACTTTTAAGTCTACTAACAAAGTTTGTCTGAGTAAAACCAAAGCACAATCGACATGGATTTGACTTTTTTTTAAAACACATTTGTGTGTAATTTGAGATTTATTAGATTTTCTGAATAAACGACAACCCTGGACAAACAAAAATATAATGAATTTTGTTGCCGGAGTAGGGCATAGAAAAGGCCAGCCGAAAGAATAAGTATAAAGACTTATAAGGCATAAAGAATAACCACAGTATGTGTCAAATTTGACCTTATTGCAAGAGTTTAAGAGCTCTCTTTCAAACATTTTGCCCTAGTAAGGATCAACATTAGGCAAATCTATAAAGTTTTGGGGCATTATTTCAAACAATTTGCTGTAGTATGGATCAACAAATCAACATCTAACGAATTGTATTGTCCGAGTAGGGCATGAAAAAAGCCAGCCAATAGACTAAATATGGTCAAAGATTTATTCGGTATAAAGAATGTATCAAATCTATAAAGTATAAGAGCATTATTTCAATTTGCTGTAGTATCGATCAACAAATCAACATCTAACGAATTTTATTGTCTGAGTAGGGCATGGGAAAAGCCAGCCAATAGACTAAGTATGGTCAAAGATTAATTCGCTATGAAGAGAAACAAAAGTATGTCAAATTTGACCTTATTGCAGGATCTATAAAGTTTATGAGCATTCTTTCAAACAATTTGCCCGAATAAGGATCAACAACTCTAGACAGACAAAGTGTAAAGAATTTTGTTGTCTGAGTAGGAAATAGAAAAAGTCAGCGAAAAACAAAAGATTTGTTCGCTATAAAGCGAACCATGATATTTATGTGTCAAATGTGATCTTATTTCAAGCATGTATAAAGTTTAGGAGCATTCTTTCAACCATTTTGCCTGTGTAAGATGAACCTTAGACCAAATTTTGTTGTCTGAGGAAGGCATAGAAAAAAATTTATTCGCTCTGAAGAGAATCAGTCAAATTTGACTTGATTAAAGGGATGTATAAAGTTTAAAGAGTGTCCAAACATTTTGCCTAAATAAGAATATCATGTATAAAATAACAAAGACTAAGAAGGTTGAGACATAGCCAAAGAAAGCTAGGTGCTACTTTAAAGAATGTACCATAATGACAATTGGGAAAAAATGATTGGGGAATAATTTTATTATATAAAAATAGTACGGATTTCTTGGATTCAAAATATGAGAAACTTACATTGTCGGAATTGGTTAAGATATCCATGGCGGTTGTTTACATTAAAAATTGAGGGTTAATGAGTGTTATTTACCTAAAAACACCGTCGTCATGGCAGTTAACGCTCAACCACATTCATATGACTATTAAAATATGAGAAAGTCATCAAAATTCATATTTCAAATTCAGTGATGGAAATTTTGTTAAGTTTAAAGACTTTTCCTGTATTATTTATTGGACTAGTCTAGATTAGAGATAAAAGAGGACGCTTCCGTTGAAGAAAATCTACATAGGACCAAAATAGGAACTTTTATACCTTAAACGACTCTATTAATATTATTTTTTCATCATAAACGTTTTACTAGCTGTGCCGGAAAACAGAAGTATATGCTTTGAACTCCTTAAATTACTGCTAAAATACAATCATCACAATGCAAAAAATGCATTACCAAGAATAAAATATATAATTATATTATACATGTAATAAAATTACTCGGTCCACGAGTAACGATCTTGATTTAAGGATACAGAACGTGCTGAAACAGCTTCTAACCATACAATGAATATTTTTCGATTAAAATCAAACAATTAGTTTTTAACATATAAAATCTAGCAAACGCTCTTTCAATGCGTCCTGTATCCCTGAACATGAACCGAGCACAATCCCTCTATGCCAGTTTAGAGACAGTCAATTGTTCCAAATAAAAAGATAAAAAACAAGGAGCAACGGACTGTCATCACGTGCCTCAGTGCCAAACCCATGCATGTCAGTTACTAACGAATTATTCCAAACTATATAAAAATAAAAACAAATCGTTTGAAAAAAGATTTAAAGAGAAACAAATGACGCAGTGATGTGACACCGTGGAAAATATTTAGACCGCTCAAGTATATAGAAAAAAGAAAACATTTAAATAGAGCATGAGACGGGGAACAAACCGCTCAGCCATTTTTTTAATATATATATAAAAAAAATAAGACTATCAACGATTAGGCATCGGCGTCCCGAAGTTTGATTGTAGTAGTCGCCAGAACGGGGAACGCACCACGCCCTTTGCGTCGAAGATTTTTAGAAAGTCAACAAATGCTTTTTTTATCGGGTGGGTGTACAAAAAAATCGTCCGGACTGATTCATCTACAAATTCTAAGAATCTCCGACGTCAAAACAACATAGTAAAACATAATGACAGTAACTTAATCAATTTAATTGAAAAATTTAAATTCCAAAACAACAAACGTACAGCAAATGAATTTTGAATGTACCAATAACAAGTCAAAACTTACAGTGTGTAAATTGAAAAAAAAAACGAATGCAGAATAGGTAATAATTAACGTAGAATTGGGGACACCATCAGCTGGTCGGGCTGGGCGCGCACAACTAGCAGGCACTAGAGGATGCGCCTCGTCGCCGGCCTTGTTTATCGCCCTCCTTTTGACGCAGGGCCACTCACACTCAGTCCCACTGTGGGCTTTCAATGTCCGTTTCACTTGACTTAGCTCCAGGATCCGTACGGGTCCTGGTACCATGCCTGCTGCTCACCGTTTACGTCCGCCCCCAGCGGCTGTTGCGGAAGGGGCTGGCTCCCCCAGTTGCTCTGGTATCGGCGCTTTGTCTCCCCCTGGTTCTGGTGACCCCCGTCAAACTTTCGCTTACCTGCTGAAATTGATACAATCACCGTCAATTACTCTGAAATTTTTACGATCCAAATTATACTGATTTATTTAATCCGACCCATGATACTCGTATAACGTTCAGTACATCAGATAAAAGGGTTCATAGTTAAATACGTTAATTGCAGACAGTGAAAAAAATGTCAGGAATATGTAACAGAATGCCAACACCTAATTAAAAACATTTATTCACCTGTTTAAAATAATTATCTACATAAACACAGATAAAATAATCACACTCAGTACACGGTACTTTGTGCGGCCCGTTAGTTTCCTGCTGGAGCTAAAACGATATCTTCGCCTATGATAAATCGTGTATTTTAATATTAATGATTAATGCTAAATATAGATGCCCTCACTTCTTGCCCTAAGGGCATAATCAAGGGGTTTTGTTTATTTTATGTCAGTAATTGAATGAAAAAGTAGATATGTCTTGTATTCAATTTCGTTGTCCCCTGAAAAAGGATTTTAATTGGTAGTTCGTGGCGCTGTATGTCCGAGTTTTTGTCCCATTTACTGGAAGGGTGGGCAATGAACCCCCCAAAGGAGCCACAACCGAGAATATAAAGTATTTTCGGCCGGGGCCCCGGGCCAACACCTGTCATGGCTCCAACATTCTTAGAGATTTTCGGAGTTTACGGGGCAGGAGGAAATTTTTCCAGTGGCGGAAAATTTTATTGTTTTACATAAAGTACGATAAATATGCATTTTAATTTAATACAATAATTGTTTAAATTTTTTTAATTCAAGTAAGGTCATCCAGACATTATACGACGTCCATTGAACGTCCATATTTAGTCCAAATAATGTCCTGGATGTCCATGAACTTCATATGGATGTCCATTGGACATCCATTTTTCGTTATCCAATGGATATACCGATTCAGAAGTCCAATGGATGTCCAAAACATGTATGGACATGTGTGTCCATCATGGGATGGACACTATAAAAATGACAACCTTACAATAAATTATTATTATAATTTAATTATTTACAACTAGGTTTTCATTAAAATAAGTCAATTAATTTTCCTCTTCTCTTCGCAATTGTTGACAAGATACAAAAGTAAAAGACCATTCAGGCCAGAGTGAAAGAAGAAGAAAGCGGTTAAGAACAAAAAAACCACAAGGACTTCCGATTCGGACATCGTCGTGGCAACATTCCCGAATCGGGAGCCCAGAAGTCCAATAATAACCAGTAAATATCTAGTGTATAAGTGACCATTCGACTTTAATTATATTACTAAATTTAACCAAATATTCTGTGCTAAGAATACAGAAGAATATTTAAACCAAATATCAAGTTCAGCGGAAGAGTGAGGACAGAAGTTCGACGCATGAGGGTGCAGCTGTACCACTTAACAAAATTTGAAAAAATAACTTAACCTGGGTGAATAGTCCTCGGATTAAGCCCATAATCACATAGAAGAAGAAAAAACCATAAGAACGACTCACAGCATAGATAAAATAATATTAATTTATCTATGGCTCACAGTCCGCATGTGCCCACAGATATAGAGTTTATCTGGTTAGAAAATAAGTATAATTAACATTAAATTATTTAAAAATCCAAAAATTAACAAGCAAGTCGTTTGTTTTATACTAATATAACCTATCAATTGTTTTAAACTTTATATTTTCGATTTACATTCAAAGAATCCCTTTCTTTTAGACCTGTTGTCAATTATTTTATAGTTAAAATCTCCATAATGTAAACAAATGCCAATTCTCTATTTACCAAGCTGGCTGAATTCAAACTGGTTGTCACCCAACAAGAACCAACTATTATTTTTATAACAAAGACCTGGATCAATAACGATAACAAACAGTTACACTTCTAGGATATACGCACTTCCAAAGATACAGAAAAACTCAGAGAGGAGGAAGTGTATTATTGTATATACGAAACAGCATAAATGGGACCCTAATTAATTTTAGCCTTAGTAAAAATTATAATAATTATATTGCTTCAAAGATTATGTCCATATGAGTTGAGATCAAGATCGGTAGATCAAACATGCTTCTGTCATGTATTTACCATCCTGGACTTGTTAGAATGCAAGAAAATACACATTTGATGGATAGTTTCAAACAACATAAATTTCCCTACTAGGGTGCGCAACGGTCAGGAATCCACGCTCGACTTACTAGTCAATAACAAAAAACTAATACCATCCGTTAGCTCTGAATCGCCTATTGATTTCAGTGATCATGTAGTCATTAAGGCAGTTGCACAACTTAATATCCAAACTGGATCCATGTTCACTCTTAACAAGTATTAAAAGTAATTTTAAAAAAACTGACTTCAAAATCGTGCAGATGCCATCACCACATCTTAACCAAATTTATATGGGGCCATCCCTGAGGTATCCCCTTACTAACAAAAAAGAATCATAGAAATTGGACAAGGTGGTAAAGAATTATCGCTAAACATACGTAAAAAATGAAGGTTGAGGATTTTCTCATGGACCCAATTATTAGATTTTTACCAAATTTATATGGGACTGCCCTTGAAGTACCCCCTTTCTAACAAAAAAAGAATCATTGAAATCGGACACCATTTTAAAGAATTATCGCTGAACATACATTAAAAAAAATATATAGAATTGACAACCTCCTCCTTTTTTGAAGTTGATTAAAAAGAGAAACTTCTGAAAAGCAGATCATACATGATGTAAGATACTGGCTAATAGTTCTTACGAAACTTTAAAAAACATACTGCACAAAGGAATAAATGACATTATTCCACTAGAAGTAATAAATAAAAACCCTGAAAAACCCTGTATCAATAGAACCCACTTCAAAGAAATTAAAAGAAACTTTCGGAAAGCAGATTATACATTAATCAATAGTGAGATAAGACAACATAATGCACATTTGCAAGATGCTGCTAATAGTTCTTACGAAACGTTAACAAACATACTTCAAAGTAATAAATGACAATATTCCACTAGAAGTATCCTGGATCAATCGAACCCAGTTCAAAGAAATTAATAAAAAACGGAACCGATGGTACAGGTACAGGTCAACAAGAGCTGAAGAAGATTATGCTGCATACAGAAACCAGAACATTAAACTTAAAAATTGATTAACTGTATCTAGAAAAGATTATGAACATAACCTCTTAACAAGTATTAAAAGTAATTTTTAAAAACCGACTTAAAAATCATGCAGATGCCATCACCACATCGTAACCACATTTATATGGGACCACCCCTGATGTACCCCCCTTAGTAACAAAAAATAATCATAGAAATCGGACAAGGTGATAAAGAATTATCGCTAAACATACATAAAAAATGAAGAGTTTGAGGATTTTCTCATGGACCCAATTATTAGATCTTAACCAAATTTATATGAGGAAGATTATGCTGCATACAGAAACCAGAACATTAAACTTAAAAATTGATTAACTGTATCTAGAAAAGATTATGAACATAACCTCTTAACAAGTATTAAAAGTAATTTTAAAAAACCGACTTAAAAATCATGCAGATGCCATCACCACATCGTAACCACACTTATATGGGACCACCCCTGATGTACCCCCCTTAGTAACAAAAAATAATCATAGAAATCGGACAAGGTGATAAAGAATTATCGCTAAACATACATAAAAAATGAAGAGTTTGAGGATTTTCTCATGGACCCAATTATTAGATCTTAACCAAATTTATATGGGACCACCCCTGAAGTACCCCCTTTCTAACAAAAAAAGGATCATTGCAATCGGCCACCGTGTTACAGAATTATCGCTGAACATACAAAAAAAAATATTTACCGACAAATTGAGAACCTCCTCCATTTTTGAAGTCGGTTAAAAAGTGGCGAAAGGAAATTTTACTCATGTGTGAAAAAAATACCGAATACAAACAGCACTCAGATCACGCTAAGAAGCCCTACAACAATTTTAGCAATCACAGAACCAGCCGAGATAGCAGAAAGATTTGCAGAACTCAGTGTAGCTTATACAACAGAACCTGATACAGAATCACCACAAATAACTGCAACAGAAAGAGTTGACAATAGCATAGTAAACATAGAATTTACCCCAGAGAATTTGGAATAGATAGAACATAATAGAGTTCCATATAGAAAGCTGCTTAGCAAACTGGAATGCTGTGGAATAAAAGACAATCTATTATTATATTGTGGATTAAGAATGTATTGTTCAACCGGCAGTTCTGCGTAAGAACAACTGTCAAACAACCATCCAGTAGAAAGAAGAGTACCACAAGGTTCGGTTTTGAGTCCCCCATTATTTATTTTGTCCACGATCACTTAATAATAAATCAATATTCTACCTCCTAACTAAAAGCATATGGTACCCATATATCACTAAAGTGAATTATGATAATTCACGCTTTTGTAATTTTGGCACATTCCGGTAGATAACTAAAGATGGGCGATACTTTTCATAACGATATTTTCTAGATCGAAAAATCGAAAAATTGAAGAATTGAAAAATTAAAAAATCGAAAAATTGGAAAATCGGAAAATTGAAAAGTCGAAAAAACAACAGTTGGTTACCTATGTTTAATAAAAACTTTCCATTCTACACTTAACTTTTATTTAATAAAGAAACCATAATGGTCGTGGACAAAGTATAGTATTAGACTCGCAATTTATGACCATTATTTGCTCGTTTAATAATATACTATTATACACCAGCGATTTATGCAAAATCTTCGAGTCCGAAGCAAAATTTTATGCAGACGACGGAAAGATCTACTGCAACCCACTGGAAAGCTCTCACAAAATGAAACAAGACCTGAATAAAATAGGAATCTATTTGGCTAATACCCCTAAACATAAATATGTGTACAGTATTGCACATTGGCCCAAATAATCCCCACACACAGCAGTCAATAGTCTCATTTACCTTATCAAAAGAGCTTTTAAAGACCATTCCGAAGATATGATCAAGAAACTGTATACAACTTACATAAAACCAAAGATAGAATTTGCATAGATCGTTAGGGATCCA